TGAAAAGCTCTCCCACGAGCCTTCGAAGCCTCAGCTTTCACCGGCCGAGTCTTGGTAACCCTCGCAGTAGGCGCAGACCCCTGTGCTGATCCCTGGTGAAGCTGAGGACACTTGGCCTTCCGATGGCCGGTCTGGTTGGAATGGAAGTAAACCATAAATCCTGTGGGGCAATCCCTAGCGATGTGCCCCTCCTTGCGACACTTGTAGCAAGCAGCTGGTCGACAGGCCCACTCATGACCCTTGCCGCACTTTCCGCAAGTGCGGCCCTTCTGACCTCCCGTCCTCGAGTCAGCAGACTTGGTCCGCTTGGCTGCCGGCTGGGACTCAGCCGGTCGCCGATCCACCCGTTGAGACTCAGCCTCCTCCCTGGCCTGAGTCGCCAACTCGATCTCCCTCTTCCGGGCATTTGCCTAGAGCCTAGTAAATGTCCGGTATGTCGAGTTCGATACGAACTCCTGAATGTCCCTCCTTAGTATACCCAAATATCAGCTCATCCGAGCCTGCTCAGTGGACACCTGCTCGGGGCAGAACATCACCCTCTCATGAAACTTCCGGGTGATCACAGTAACTGAATCGTTACCCTGCTTGAGGGTCAAGAATTCCTGAATCAACCGTTCCCTCTCCACCGGGGGAACATACTCATCTCTGAACATAGTAGTAAATCTTTCCCAAGTCATGGCCAAAATCTCCGCAAGAGTGAAGTTCGCCGTCACGAACTTCCACGAATCCTTTGCTCCGAGGTGGAGCTGGTTCAAAGCTAACCGTACCCTCAGATGCTCCGGAGATGAACATGTGTAGAAGCATCCCTCAATGTCAGCAATCCATCTCATCACAGCGATATGATCCTGTGTCCCGTCAAACTCGGGTGGCTTCGTGTTGCTGAACTCCCGGAATAGCAACGAGTCACCTCCCTGTGGTTTGGCAGCAGCCACAGCTGTGGTAGCTATAGCGGCTGCGGCCTCAGTCACCGCGGCGTACCGCTCATCGAAAGTCTCCATCAGTGTGGTCTTGATAGACCCAAACATCTCTGGAATCTCAGCCCGGATCGTCGCAGCCACCTCATCGTGGATCATCTGACGAAGCTCCTCGTCACTCACACCGCTCGTCCCAAATCTGTGGCGTGGCCCAACCATAATGCCTCTGAAATACAACATAAAAATATCAGAGACTCAATCGAGCATACTCGCACTCGATAACGCAACCCTACTCGGCCTCCGATACCCAAAGGATTCTTACTTGGGTTGCCCACTGATCCGGTGTTTTCAGTAGTACGGGCCCTATACTACCGACTACACCGCATCAGCATTCACCCCAACTCCTCCTCCCTGGACCCCAAATCACGAGTACTCTATTCTTGCTACGCACTGGCTACCTACTCGCTCTCAAAGCATCTCATAGCAGCAGGTTCCCCTAGACTAAGGCATCACAAATCAGGCCACTCTAGTCCTAATATGAATACCTAGTCTACTCTAGCATGCATAACATATCATAACATATCTCATAACACATATTGTAAGGGTATTTTGGGGATTTTATCGTTTGGGTGCTGGCTGACCATACACACTACTTCTCCTTTGGTTATTACAAAATCTCTTATAAAATTTTTATGCCTTTATTAATTGAAATTTTTTCTCAAATCCTCGGTTTGAGTTAAGTTACGCCCGAAGGTGCATCCGAATCCCTCAAACCAAGGCTCTGATACCAACTTGTAACAACGTAAAATTTCAAAACAAATTTTCATTTTTCAAACAACATAAACCATCATTTAATATTCTGAAATCACATGTCTAACAAATGTCATCGTAACAAAATACATCCTAAGATCATAAAACAATTCTTCCGTCAGTGTGTACAGATCACGCCGACACCTTCCCACGGTCCTCGCTAGTACCTAAAACACATAACACAACAACTGTAAGCATAAATGCTTAGTGAGTTCCCCAAAATACTACTTACGCATGTACGCCCTTCCGGGCCCTGACCTTCCGGTCCATGTGTCTCAGGGGACTTCTGTCCCGACTCGGTAAACCTTCCGGTCCTACCTGCGTCAACCTTACGGTCCACATCACAACGCCTTCCGGCCCATATCAAGCATAGCATACATAGCACATACAATGGTTAAATTATCATATACAATGCATACAACTCATAACATATCCAACCTTCCGGTCACACAATAAAACCCTTCCGTGTACAGTATAGTGAGAAAACTCACTCGTGGAAAGTCTAGAATCTCCCGTGCTCGCTATCTCCGAATCCCAACCCGCCTAATCATAACGTACTGGGAGTTACGCCCAGCGTAACACTCAAATTCAGCCATTCTTCATTTTTGGTCTTAAATGATTAAGACACTTCTTCAACTTCTAGATCCGACTCTCCTTAAGCCTTCTTACCCATAAAGTCGAAACCTTTAAGCCTTGGCATGGCTGTAAAGGCTCCTACACTCCTTAATACCTTTCCATTTCAACTCAAAAGATCTAGATCTCATGCATGGCTAATCATTCACGTCCAAGATTACATTTTTATGAATCTACAACTCAAATGGACCAAAAATATGATGGATCTAAGCTAATGGAGACTACTTGCTCATAAAGTCTCCATCTTTGGGACCAAAACCCTAGAAATGTTCCATTAAGCATACCACAGGAACTACAAGTCAAGATCCAAACTTTTTACCTAAGAAAGAAGCTCCAACCTTTGCTATTCACGGATCTACACTTGAACACCAACTTCTAGCCTCCACAATGGACTCCTCTTCTCTTTTGTTGCCTTGAAATGACACCCCCAAGCTTAGAACACTCACAATCAAGCTATGAACGAAGGAACGACTCTCTTAGGGTTTCTTTATGAAGGATGGTGGCTGAGGAACCAAGCCATCTCATTCCTTTTATAGCCAACCACAAAATTAGGGTTTTTGGGCCTGGACCCGTTACGCCCAACGTAACCTTGGGTACGCCCAACGTACTCGGGGGATGGTACGTTTAAATGAGGCTCGCGAGTACGTGCAGCGTACTCCTTGTACGCCCAACGTACTCGCCCAACACAAAAGCCCAAAAAATGACAACATATAAAAGATGAAGGGCTAATTAAAGGTACCTGGATTTCGGGCTGTTACAGTTTGCATGTATATTAAAGAGAATATAGATCCAAAGCATCTAAGGTTGCATGTATACCACAGGAGTGTTAGAATGCTCAAAACCCTTCTAATATCTGCTCATTTCTACCATCATCTATTCAGATCAATTGGACTTTTGCCAAGATCTTTTACATTTCACATCATATTCGTTACTCTTACTGAGACATCTATATTTTTAGATCTGCTTTGTTTTTAACTTAGATCTCTAGATTTGCATCGTTTTTGTTCATACAAACATGCTTCAAGTTTGCAAATATCTTCTCATATCTATTTCATTTTTGTTTGGTTACATCTTAAGCATGTGGGGGAGAAAATAAATTTTTGTGACTTTTATCCTATCTTTCGCTCAAATACTATCATAAAACACTTTTTTGGCTGAGGTTTTCTATGAATTATTCATTATTTGAAGCACCAATAATGCACCTATTCGTAAATATTGCTATTATGTTTGTACATTGAGAAATCCATACAAAAATCTATTGATATTTACCCACTTTCACCAAAACACATCTTATTCACTAAACGAAGCCAAAAAATTACATTCACACTACATAGTTCATCACATCAATATATTTAAAAAAAAGGGAAGGAAGGAGGGCAGTTGGCCCCACCATCTACATTGTACACTACCTGGTGCAACTCCAATTCTTATGTTCGACAAAAATGCAAAAATGGTCCCTGTGGTTTGACATTTTTTGTGGATATGGTCCAAACCTTTTAAAAATTGGATTTCTGGTCCTTATTGAAAGGTTTGTTTGTGGAACAAGTCCCTAGGGTTAACAGCCATTTGTTTGTGGCTGTTAAACCCCTCACGTGCATTGCACACGAGGGCATAAATGTCTTTTTACTGGAGGGACCATTTTTACAATTCTTGAAATAATATATAAAGACTTCCCCAACGTTCAAGTTCTTCCCCAAATGTTGTTCTGCAACTTTCAAGTTGTTCTTCATTCTCTCTTCCATCTCTCATCTCTCTTTGTTAACAGTCGGGGTCACGATGGTTCTCTGTTTTTGTGGTAAGTTTGCTGTTGTTAAATGCTCATGGACACCGAAGAACCCAGACAGACGTTTCTATGCTTGCCCTCAAAAGGTAAAGAAATTCGTTTGCACCCATTTGATTTGTAATCAAATAACATTTGTTATTTTCCCCTTTTTGAAGGATTCTGCTTGTCGCTTCATCGGATGGGTTGATCCCCCCATGCGTGAAAGGTCTAAAGTCATTATTCCTGGGCTATTGAGAAATATTAACCGAATGCAAGCTTGGTATACAGCTCTAAAGATCATGTTGCTGGCTAGTTGGGTGTTTTTTGTGATTTTGTTCATAAGGTCTGTTTAGGTTTAGTTAATAGGTCAATGGGGTGGGTTTTTATTTGTTGAAGATCGATAAAAGTGTGGCTTTTTGGTGGATTAATGGTTTTTGGTACTTTGACCTAGGTTCTTTGTAGTTGTTTGTAAGGTCAAAGTAAGTTGTTTATGTAGTAAATGACTTCCTGATATAAATATGAATTTTATGGAATTGCTTATGTTGTTTGTAAGGTTATTTGTAGTTTTTCTTATGGAATTGCTTATGTTGTTTGTAAGGTTCTTTGTATGAATTCCAATCAGTTGGTTGTACTTAACAACTGCTTTTTGTCCCAGCTTCTCATTTTCCAAATCTTCATTTTCTTCATCATCAAAGTCAATGGCAAGAAATTAGGACAACTGTTGATTTTTGTCTTGCTTTAACAAAAATGAATTTTATGGAATTGCTTATGTTGTTTGTAAGGTTCTTTGTAGTTTTTGTAAGGTGAAAGAAAGGTTAATGTGAATAATTGACTGTAATGGTTATAATAAACAATAATAACCAAAAACCATAATAACCAAGGCTGCAATTACATAATAGACTACAAACATATAGTGCAATTACATTATCCCAAAATATGCAACCATATAGACTAATACTTATCATACAAATGAAAACCAAAATAACCATAAGTCATAAGTTTTTTAACATCAAAACACTTCCAAAAGTAGCAAATAACATCTGCCAAAACAAACACAACCTTGATCTTCAACTTCCACCTAACTTCCACCTCCTTGACCTTTGCATGTCCTTGAGTTGTGACCTTTGTTTTTGCATTTTGCACATGTTACACTGACATATTTCCTTGTTAATTTTTGAACTCCATCAGGACCCACTTTACAGCCTTCTTCCTGACTTACACCATGAGTACCAGTCTGACTTTGACTCCCTCTTTGACTCTGACTCAATTTTTCATCCTCACTTTTCTTCCTCTTCTTTGTAGGCCTACCTATTTGCTTATGATGAATTGGAGGGATAAGTGTTGTGGGACACAAACTTTTAGGCCACATTATTCTTCCTTTTATGGGCTCTACCTTATAGGAATATGCATTCTTCCATGTATCCAACCAATATACCTTTTTGACCCACCTGTAAATGTCACCAACATCCTCTGAGTTCTTGGTCATTTCATAAGGGTTGCAATGGCATGTTTACATGGGATGCCTATTAGCTCCCACTTCCTGCAAGTACATGTGTTGTTCCTTACATCTACAACATGTTGGTCTTGCCATGCCCCAGTGACTTGGTATTTCTCACCCCCATTCCACCTAGCAATGTAATGTGATGCATGAGACTTGTTTGCATCCAATATGGTTGTTGCAGTGGGTGTTAAAGGCCCTTTTGCCTTGTCCATCACCTTCATAACATTACAGATTCTCTTCATCAGGTATTGTCTAATATACTCCAAACAACCTATGATAGGCTTATCTCCTCCCTTTATTATCTTGCTGTTAAATACCTCACAAAGGTTGTTTAACAGTATATCAGAGATTGCTCTGCCTGTTAAAAAAATTAACATATTCTTTTAAGTACAAGTACACATTTAACATGTAGTAATTTATGGTAATTTATGTACCTGTAAAATGGCTTCTTGCCCAGTGTTTTGGAGGAATCTTTCTAAGCCATTCACATGCCTCCTTGTCATAGTTGCTAAATTCTTTCATGCAATGCTCAAATTCAGGTACAGTGGTTGCCGTTGCACATCTCCATAAATGATCCTTGTACTCTTTCAATTTCCATTTCACTCTCATGTTCTGATGTATGTGCCTGAGATAGTACCTGTGCTCAGCACATGGGAATAGTTGGGCAATTGTTGGTATTAAACCCTAGAACAATAACAAAAATTAAGTATTTAGTTTATATAATAATAAGTAATTAATAATACAAGTTAGAAAGAGATACCTTTTGTCGATCTGTGATAAAAGTAAAGTTAGAGTTTGAACCAAGATCCAAGTCTTCTCCTAAACACTGCAAGAACCATACCCAACTACTTTTGTTCTCTGTCTCAACAATGGCATAAGCAAGGGGGTAAATACCATTGTTAGAGTCCAACCCAACTGCTGTTAGAACCTACCCAGGAAATGGTCCTTTCATATGCGCACCATCGAAACCCAAAAGATCCCTGAGGCCAGCCTTAAAACCTTTTTTCAGGGGACCTAAGCAAATGTAGATTCTTTTAAACCTCCTCGTTGGGTTTGATGGGTTTTGTTCACTGTAAACATCAATCTTGACAGTTGTGTCAACATTGGTTGCTTGCAATTCAAGGACATAGTCCCTCAAGATCTCATATTGTTTCGTATAGTCACCCTCCACGGTCTTAGTAGCAATAGCCTTGGCCCTGAATACTTTGTCAATAGAAATACCTACCTCGAAGTCCTTTTGAAGTTGTTCCTGCAATGCTCGAAGAGGAATCCCTGGATTCGTGTCGATTTGGTCCATGATTCGCTTGGATATAAAAGTAGCAGTGCAAGCTCTAATCTTCCTACTTTGAAGGCAAGTATGGTTGTCATTTAATGTCCTTACAAACCAGGGAGATTCTGTGTTTGACCTAGAAGCATGAAGGAACCAACTACAGTTTACTTTTTCTGAATTTACCTCTTTGCCCTTGGTTTTATTTTTGGATTAAGGCCAACCACCCCACTTGCATTGATGATAGGGACTACACCTCTACACAATGCCCGAAGTCTAATCTTGTCATTCTTTTTATAATATAAATTCCTCCTAGTTTCTAGTGCGTGCATGTCAATTTTTTCTTTCAATTCTTTCTTTGATTTAAACTTTTGCCCAACATAAAAACTGGCCTTATGGACATTGCCAAGACTGCATCTTTTCTCCTTAGCTAGATTTTTAAGAACACATCTTCTTTTCCTTTCATCTTCTGACCCTTCATCTAAAGAATCCCATCTATCATTGTCAATGACTTCTATGTCCTCATGTTCATCATTTGTCCCAACCCCGTTATGAAACCCATCCATTTGAACACAACCATAATCCTTATCAAGATTGAGGTTAAAGTCAGTCATATCCACCTCCACTTCTGATACATTGTTTTCATCATCAACAAGTTCATCATATTGTTCTTCTGATTGTTGCCTAAGATCATCATTGTCAGCAGACTTTTCATGTTCAGACTGATGGTCTTCAACATTCTCATCTTCTGATGGTTGATAATGTTCTCCATCAAAGTGATCATGAGAAAAGTTCTCATAATGAAATTCATCATAATCAAAGTTATCATGGTCACCACCTTGATCTTGTACCACATCATCCATGTTAGCATGCTCAACCTCTTGATCTTGAACCACATCATTCATGTTAGCATGCTCACCAGCTTGATCTTGTACCACATCATCTAATTTAGGATTCTCACCACCTTGATCTTGTACAACATCATCCAATTTAGCATGATCACCACCTTGATCTTCTACTACATCATCCAATTCAACTAAACAAAGCTTTTTGGCACAAGAACTTTGACCAACTATTGCATTCACCCTTCCATTTCTTCTATACTGTGGTGAAACTTGTGTAGGGACTTTGTCAAAGAGTATCAAGGACATATACCCTGCCAACTGTGTTTGATCATTAGCTTCATCTATCATTGGGGTTTTATCCTTTGCTGGTACTTGAGGTACATTTGCTTCTTTTGGAAGATCACCATCACAGAGCTCCTTAATAATAACTTTTTGCTTTCCTTTTGGAGACATAAAATAGGTCAGCAAATTAGTTTTTCCATGTTCTGTATACACTTCAATGACCTTGTTATCTCCAATATACTGAGCCAAATTCAAGACATCATTATCATTCCCTAAAGCTCTGAGGCCAAAATCCAAGTCTTCATGAGGAATCCTAAAATGGTAATATATTACTGGGGGTACAGAGTAACCTAGCTCTAGCATCATTGCGTCTAGTTCATGAACTGAGAACTCATCAATGTCTACTAAATAAATATATCGCACTTCACCTTTAACATATTTCGTGTTTGGAAGCTTCGTAAAATTTCCACCATGGTGTAGCTTTATGCTGAACATTGTTGGTACACGCTCTACAAGATACAAAAAACATTAAGTAAGAAATTATCAGATGTTTGTATTTTTGGCTCTGTTCTTCAGATCATCAAGAAACCTAACACAATTTCGTAAACAGAGGATAAGTGAAACTAACCATATTCATTTGTGATGTTATACGTCTCGCCTTTTGGCCTAATCGCCCACATTACGAACACCATTTACAGTTGAAAAGCAAAAACAAGTAAACACCTTGGACCAAATCTTGATTAGGGTTTTTGCGTTCAAAACGAACGACGAAGAAGATGGAAGTGGAAGAGATAACTAAACATTTTGTGATTTTGTGTGTAATATGGCGCTAAGACTGTAACAAGCGGGTTTATTTCAGGAATTGTAAAAATGGTCCCTCAAGTAAAAAGACATTTATGCCCTCGTGTGCAATGCACGTGAGGGGTTTAACAGCCACAAACAAATGGTTGTTAACCCTAGTGACTTGTTCCACAAACAAACCTTTCAATAAGGACCAGAAATCCAATTTTTAAAAGGTTTGGACCATATCCACAAAAAATGTCAAACCACAGGGACCATTTTTGCATTTTTGTCCTTATGTTCAAAATTGCTCTATGCCATCCCATTTCGCTACCATCTTCAACCGATCATTGCCATCAGTAAATTATTTACATTCATAAAAAGATTGGGAGGAAGAAAGGTGTTCAGGCCCACCACCAATTGCGTACATTTCAATTTCAAAAAGAAAAGGAAAGTAGATGGCATATACATTCGTAAACATATACGATGGAAAATAAAATGGGCCCCACGGTGACAGCTGGAAATCGGCACCACCTATAGCCGATGGACCACCTGTTATCGCCACCACCATCATCTTTATCTTTAGCTCCACCAGTCGCTTCTGACTCAGACGAGTAGACCCTGACTAACTCTAGCTAGTGAACATCATATCTGAAAAAGAAGCTCGGACATCAGTCTTTAACCCACGAATCATAAGCTCCAACATTGATCACTGTTGGCAACATCAATCGCCTCCATCGTCTTCAGAACCACGTACAACTGCCAACCACCTTCAATAGAAGATCCGACAGACCAAAGTAGCCAAAAATCAAGTTATTTCTCCAATTTTCTTATCCAATCATTGAGTCTCCACCAACCATCATCCTCATCGGACTACCTCTAGTTGATGATCTCCTCCAACGACTAGCCAAATTCAACGCGAGTGACAAAAGACCAACGTAGTTGGCGAAATCTGAGCTCCGATTTCCATCTACAGGTGACAGCTCCGACGAAAAAAAGGGAGAGAGCCACCATCGTGAACTCCTAGGCCTCCATCTGTTGGTGTTTCTTTTTTGATATATCTTTGTGATAGACGTGAGAAAGAGGACTTGCAGGAATGTTTTTTTAGTCCATTTAAGAATGGGAAGTGGGAACTATGCATAAATGCTTTTGTGTCTTAATTTTGTTGTCCAATACGAAAAAAAGAGATAAGCGAAGGGTGGGACACAAAAGAAAAAAAAAAAAGAGAAGAATGGTGTGCAGTGTGCTTGTGCATCCCTTTCAAAGAAAAAAAGAATTTGGGTTATTATCTTTCAAATGGATTTATGTGGGCTGCCACTACTTTTATTTTGGGCTTCTTCAAATTTGAGCGGGCCATCTCAGCAAAAAAAAAGTGTCATCTCATAGGATCATCACAGGCCACCTGACCCCAAGCCTAACAACTAGGATATACATACATCCTATACTTACCCTCTCAAGAATGGCTAATCATTCCTTATGCTGGCCTTCTACATATCACACTCACTTATGAAACATCCGCTAACCTGCAACCGCCCGTGTATGTTAATGATACATAACGATGGGTTTGATAGGCAGTTAAATAATTGATTCTATCCGAAGCCCTTAACCTAAAAAGAAACCAGAAATAAGACTAAATCAAACATTCTCAAACTATAAAATCTTCGTTATGTACAAGTATGATGCACACACTAAGAAACCATAGTAATAATGTCAATTACGTATAGCATATCAATAAACTCTCTTTGCTTAATAGGCATCATAAATCAAGTAATTCTATCATGCAATTCATGAAGATCCCTAGCCTACAACCTTGCATGCAATTTTATCATATCATCAATACATAAAACCAACATGGATATCTTGGGGAATAATTTCCTTGGCTCCGACCGATTGTACACATTGCATCATCTCCGTCGATTATTTTAGAATTAGTTTTCAAATATATTTTAGAGATTCTTAGTTTGAGTTTGGAATCACACAAGTGTTCATTCAATTCTTTTAAACATGGGCTCTGATACCAACTTCTAACATCCCAAAAATCATGATAAAAATTTTGATTTTTGTAAAACATTTCCACAAATCAAAATATAATTATTGGTGTAGGTCTATTTGATAGACTTGACTATCGGCACTGTGTCCATATAATGAGCCATCGATCTATCGATCCCACAAGACAACACTGCCCGACGTATGTGCCTGACAGCCCCGCCTGGGAAAATCCATCTCATCACACATCGATTTGACTTGATCTTCAGAGTTTGCTTTCGGGGCACAGTCCCTAGGTCAGTTATAATAATTTTCTATAATGATAGCTAGGTGTCACGTCGGGATCTCGCTAGCAACACCACATCCAAATCCCCAGTCCAAATCCGAGTCAACAAGACTTAGTGGTCTGTGTTGACGTCGCAACATTGGCTCCATCCACCAGACTTGAGTAAATAATTACTATTTCGCTCGGTCTCAATCTCATTTTCACCTAGATATGTTCAGATCTATAGTTTTTCGCATCAGGTTTGTACATATCTGATCATTTCTACCATCATCTATTCAAATCAATTGGACTTTTGCCAAGATCTTCCCAAATCTATTACATTCCTCATCATACTCGTTGTGCTCTTACTGAGATCTCTATATCTCTAGACCTGCTTTTTTTACTTGGATCTCCAGATTTGCATCGTTTTTGCTCATAGTTTGCAAATATCTTCTCATATCAATTTCATTTTTGTTTTGGTTACATCTTCAACATGTAGGGGAGAAAAGAAATTTTCATGACTTTTATCCTATCTTTAGCTCAAATACTATCAGAAAACACTTTTTGGCTGAGGTTTTCTGTGAATTATTCAGTATTTGAGGCGCCTATTTGCAAATAGTGCTATTATGTTTGTATATTTAGAAATCCATACAAAAATCTATTGATATTTACCCACTTTCACCAAAACACATCTTATTTACTCAACGAAGCCAAAAAAAAAAATACATTCACCCTACCATCTCAGTTTGCAATTCATCACATCAATATATTTAAAAAAAAAGAAGGAAGGAAGGAGGGCAGTTCGCCCCACCATCTACATTGTACGCTCTTAATTTTTTAAAATGTGTATGGCTCATATGAATTTTAGAGAGTTGGAAGAAAAAACAAACTGACACAACATGTCTCAAAAATGAGCTATGCCATCCCGATTCTCGACCATCTTCAACTGGCGTAGACCACACCTCGCGCAACTCCAATTCTTATATTCAAATTTGCTCTGCCATCCCAATTCTCGACCATTTTTAACCGGTGATTTCCATTAGTAAATTATTTACATTCATAAAAAAAAATAAGGACGGAGAAAGGTGGTCGGGCCCACCACTAGTTGCATACATTTCAATTTCAAAAAGAAAAGGAAAATAGATGATATATACATTCGTTCAAACATATAAGATAAATATAATGCTTTTATAATTTTTTTTTTCAAATGAATTTTTTTTAGCTTGCAATATGTTAATTGTCATCGTATAACGAGTGAGATGAAAAACGGATAACAAGCTATCCTGCTAATACTTTTTGAATGGTAAAACTAATTCTCTTAGAAACTACATCCCAAAGTTCTAGATATATAAATGGAAAATAAAATGGGTGCCGAAGGTTAAAGAAGTCTGGCAAAAAAAGCAGGTCCCACATGGACCATCTCCTTCATCAGATATCCGAACTTAGCACTTCATCTCCAACACCGGCAACACCCATAGCCGATGGACCACTTGTTATCGCGACCACCATCATCTTTAGCTCCACCGGTCTCTTTTGACTCATACGAGTGGAACCCGACTACCTCTAGCTAGTCAACATCATATCCGACAAAGAAACTCCGACATCAGTCTTCAACCGACGAACATAAGCTCCAACAATGATCACTATCGGCAACATCAATCACCACCATCGTTTTCAGAACCACATACAACTACCGACCACCTACAATGGAAGACCCAACAGACCAAAGTATCCGATTTTCTTATCCAATCGTTGAGTCTCCAACAACCATCATCATTGTCAAACTACCTCCAGTTGACAATCTCCTCCAACGACTAGCCTTCTTCAACGCAATTGACAAAAAAGACCAACGTCGTTGGCGAAATCTGAGCTCCAATTTCCATCTGCAGGTGACAACTCCTTTTAGAAAAAGGGAGAGAGCTACCATCGTGAACTCCTAGACCTCCATCTTTCGATGTTTCTTTTTTGATATATCTTTGTGACAAACGTGAGAACGAGGACTTACATGAATGATTTTTTAGTCCATTCAAAGCTGATAAAGAGCATAGGGACCCATGTAGAAAAGCTTTTGTGTCTTAATTTTGTTATCCAATACGAAAAAAGAGATAAGTAGATAAGAAAAGGGTCGAACACAAAAGAAAAAAGAAAAGAAAAAAAAAAGAAGAATGGTGGGCTTGTGCTTCTGTTTCGAAGAAAAAAAAAAGAATTTGAGTTATTATCTTCAAAATGGATTTAAGTGGGCTACCACTATTTTTACTTTGGGTTTCTTCAAATTTGATCTTTGTATTTTAGCGGGCCATCTCAACAATAAAAATGGGCCATCTGAGAGGATCGTCATGGACCACTCGATCCCCAAGAGTGGCTATACTCACCCTCTTAAGAGTGGTTAATCATTCCTTATGCTGGCCTTCTGACCACACTCACTTATGAAATTTCCACTAACCTTGCAACCATCCGTGTATCTAATCATACATAAAATTGGATTTGATAGAGAGTAAAATAATTGATTCTACCCTAAGCCTTCAACCAAACAAGGAATAAGAAAATAATACTAAATCAAACATTCTCAAGCTATAAAATCTTAGTGATGTACAACTATGATGCACAAACTAAGAAACCACCGTAATAATGTCTGTTTCATATAGCATATCTGTAAAATAC